CTCAGGATGCTGGTGTCAGGGGCTGGACTGAGGAGGAATAGTGGGGACCGCCCCTCCCCTCTCCTGAACCTTCCCTAAAACAGGAGGACAGTATAGATTTAGAACAGTGGTTTGCAGAAGGGCATAGTTCAGAGACTGCAGAGGGGGAAAGCTGGGAGATATTGGGAGAGGAACAGCAGGAAGAAGAAGAAACACTGGGAGAGACAGCTGACCGACTCAGTGTCTTTGGAAAGCATTCCTGAGCCCTCCTTCCCCCAGGACTAGGTGTGCATTGAAAGTAATAGAACAGAAAGCTCAGAGGAAGAAAGCCCAGATCAGCCGGTGTAGGGATGACATAGGATAAGAGAGAAGGAAGGAGTTGGACTTTACTTGGAGCAACGCCATTATTGAATAGGAACTACATTCCTTTGTCTCTCTCTGTGAATACTGAATAAATTACGTGTTAAGGACTCTTCATGTTTATCTGGTTTTGTTGGCTGCCACCAGGGGAAGAATAGGATTCCCTGAACCTCGACAACTGGACTAGAAGGACATAGGCCTGATCCAGCAGGGCACTTTTTATGTTCTCATCCTATTGTGCATACACTGACCACAGCCATATTTGTGAACAGAGCCAATAACCAAGCAGACAAACCACAGGTGTTGTGGAAGGCAAACTTTGACAACTATGAATTTTTCCTATAGCTTCTTCTTCTCCCTCTCTCTCCCTCGCCCATCCTAAACACCTATATTGGGGAAGGAACCATTTTCCCACAGTGCAATTCTAGAATGCCTGGGAATATCTACAGATGAAGCAATAATGTGAGAGGAACCAAACGCATTGGTTTTCCCAGCCATTCGCAAACCTCCCTCCCATCAGGTTGCTGGCTGGATGGGAAAGGCTCACGTAATTGTTCCAACTACATGGCTGCTTTATTCACATGCAATTCCCAGTTGTGAGATCACACCCCAAGAAGTTGGCTCCTGTTCCTCTGCAGGTGTGTGTGTGTGTGTGTGTGTGTGTGTGTGTGAAGCAGGCCTCCCTCTGTCTCCAATGGAGGGGGAAGGGCAAGGCAACTTGGAATGTCCACTGCTCATCTCAGCAAAGGAGACGGGAGGATCATAAACAAATTAATTGCCTTAATCTAACCTGCTTAAAGATTTGCAGTCAAGTCCCCTGACAGATGACTCCAAGGGAATGCAGCCCTCAGCAGAACAAAGGTTCCTCACCCACCCCTGGATTAAAAGCTTTCAAGTCTCCTTAGTGCTGACCGCCCATGAAGCCCTAAGTTCTGCCCCTGGTTTCAGGCTGTGGAGCATGATCTGGAATGGCACCTGCATTTCATACTGGTGTGGGGAACCATCCGCCTTCTATATGTTGCTGAAATACAGTCCTGCCAGCCCTAGCAAGCATGTCCAATAGCTCCCTAATTAAACATGTGATCAGGGGCATGCATATCTGTGGAATGATAAGGTCAAAGCACATAAAGCATTTAAAAACCATATTGTCAGGAAAGCATTGTTTAATGTCTGGATAAGATATAAGGACTTATTGGAAAATAAAACCCCAAGGTGGTTGTCACCGATGGAAGCAAAAGCTCTGAAAAGGCTCAATATGGAGGCCAAATGGCCGAAATATTGGGAAATTTTGGAACAAGACGGAGATAGACTGAAATTGCAGAGTTTTGAGAAATTAAAAAACAAAGTGTGAGACTGGCTTCATTATTATCAGATAATGGAGGCATATAATTTGGACAAGAAAATTGGTTTCCAGGTGGAAAAATCAAAATTAGAAACAGAACTGTTAGAACCCAAAACTAAGATTTTGTCAAAGATGTATAACTTGTTGTTGAAATGGAATACTCAGGATGAAACGGTGAAATCTGCTATGATTAAATGGGCACAAGATGTTGGACATAACATAATGATGGCTGACTGGGAACAGTTATGGACCACAGGTATGAAGTTTACGGCATGTAATGCCTTAAGAGAGAATATTATGAAAATGATATACAGGTGGTACATAACCCCAGTCAAGCTTACAAAAATTTATCATTTGCCCGGTAACAAATGCTGGAAATGTAAAGAAACTGAAGGTACATTCTTTCACCTTTGGTGGACGTGCCCAAGGATTAAGGCTTTCTGGGAGATGATATATAATGAATTGAAAAAGGTATTTAAATATACCTTCTTGAAGAAACCAGAGGCCTTTCTCCTGGGCATAGTCGGCCAATTGGTGCCAAAGAAGGACAGAACTTTTTATGTATGCCACAACAGCAGCAAGAATACTCATTGCAAAGTATTGGAAGACACAAGATCTACCCACTCTGGAAGAATGGCAGATGAAGCTGATGGACTATATGGAACTGGCAGAAATGACTGGCAGAATCCGAGACCAGGGAGAAGAGTTGGTGGAAGAAGATTGGAAGAAATTTCAAGACTATCTACAGAAATATTGTAAAATTAATGAATGTTAGAATGATGTTGGATAGAAATTAAGTGGTGTTCAGCTGTAATGCTTTAAGGGAATATGAAAAATGGGTTGTTTATAGGCAAAAATCTAACGTTACTATTTTAAGACCAAAGATCAGGATAAATAAAGAGGGTAAGGATTTGCTGAACCAACAAATTGAACTGGAATACAAAAAAGGGAGGTATGAGGAGGTCCGGGAAACAAGCTAAGGAAAAATAAGTAATGGAAAAATTGAGTGGTTTTTAATCATTTTTATTTTGTATTTTCTTTTTCTTTTTCATTTTTATATTGTAACTTTGTATCTTTTTTTCTTTTTCATTTTTATATTGTAATTATCTGAAAATCTTAATAAATATCTTATTTTTTAAAAAAAACATGTGATCAGGAGGGGGCGGGGGCAGGAGGGTGTCACCCACCTTCTCCTGAACACACTGCAGAGAGCAGAAAGGTCAACGCTATTCTGTGTGGGGAAGATGCTGATGAAGCAGAACCCAGCAGACAGCAGGATTGCACCTTCCTGCTCATTAGGGTTGCTGAATCCAGACACAAAAGTTGTTGAGCTGTTTTTGTTTATTTTAGTTTTGTCAAAAGTTGTTTCTGAGCTATTTTTTAAGGGAAATCGGCAAAAACGACACTGCCAACATGGATTGCCATACATCTGGATTCTGCTTCTGACTGCAGTATTCTAGGTATGTCCAGAAAATTCTGGACATATGGCAACTGTAGACTACGTGCATGAGTTCCCCTGATGGGAACAGGCACATAATAATAATAATAATAATAATAATAATAATAATAATAATAATAATAATAATTTATTTATATCCCGCCTGCCCCAGCCAAAACTGGACTCAGAGCGGCTAACAACAGTAAAAATAGCACAGTTTATATAAAATCACAGTCAATTAATTGAAATACATTCAAAATTCAATTCAGAATCAAATTAATGGCAACCATTGGGCTAGAGTGCTATGAGGATTACAGAAGGAGGGGGTCAGACTGTGCCTTGGCCAAAGGCCTGGTGGAACAACTCCGTCTTGCAGGCCCTGCGGAAAGATGTCAGGTCCCACAGGGCCCTAGTGTCTTGTGACAGAGCGTTCCACCAGATCAGGGCCATGGCCGAAAAAGCCCTGGCTCTGGTCGAGGCCAGTCTAATCTCCATGTGGCCCGGGATCTCCAAGATGTTTTTATTTGAAGACCGAAAGGTCCTCCGTAGGGACATGGGTGGTGCTGTGGGTTAAACCACAGAGCCTAGGACTTGGCGATCAGAAGGTCAGTGGTTCGAATCCCCGCGACGGGGTGAGCTCCTGTTGCTCGGTCCCTGCTCCTGCCAACCTAGCAGTTTGAAAGCACGTCAAAGTGCAAGTAGAGAAAAAGGTACCGCTCTGGCCCGAAGGTAAACGGCATTTCTGTGCGTCACTCTGGTTCGCCAGAAGCGGCTTAGTCATGCTGGCCACATGACCCGGAAGCTGTACGCCGGCTCCCTCGGCCAATAAAGCGAGATGAGTGCCGCAACCCCAGAGTCGGTCACGACTGGACCTAATGGTCAGGGGTCCCTTTACCTTTACCTTTAAGGTTCTCCGTGGGACATACCAGGAGAGGCAGTCCCGTAGGTACGAGGGTCCTAGGTTGTACATGCAGTCAATGCTCCATTTTACCCACCCCTCAAATGTCGCCCTGCCTCTAGACAGCCCCAGATCATTCCAGGAAGCCTGGCACAACTTGGGGCAACCCAGGGCTGTCTGCACCCAACCCAGCCAAGGCCTGGAAACCTCCTAATTGCACCAAATGGGTTTGGGCTTCAGCCAAATCTGGTGCACAGCCCTAATTTAAAGCAGAAAATGGAATCAAGCATTCCAGAAATAAGTAAAGGACAATCTGAAGAAGAACAAATGGCAATGCATACACTAGCGGCTCCCTTTAGACAGCATTGATCTGGGTGAATGATGAACTTGCTGGTGCAATGGATGAAGGTCAGATACGTTTGTGAACACCAATGGATCCATCAGCGGTAGCCGATAACTTTTGTTTAGAAATATTGCTGCTGCTTCTTTGATTGAGGAGCCTGCCACAAAAAAAGTGGAGCTTCTTCCAAGTGTTTTCCTTTGAAGACAGAACGAAGCAAAACTCTGCTTGGAACTTTTGCTCCTGGTGCGGAGCTGTTTTCATTTGCTTTGCAAGGTATAAAGACCACTGAAGCTGGTGGCATGAGTGGTTAAGAACATCAGCTATGGAAGAGGAAGCTCAAATCTCATGTCAGCCATGTAACCAGTCGGCCCTCTTAGATAAGGACATAGAAAAACTGCACAATGATGCAACTAACACTTGAAATCCAACAACATGGGTGAGCCATAAAAGCCGCTGGAGAGGCAGGCTGCAATCCTGAGCCCTCCAGGCCTATCTGTCCGGCCCTCAGAACTCTCTATGCCACACCCCTTACTGGCTTTGCTTCACTTCCACTATGTTTTAATGCCTCTTAGAATCAGAGAGTTCGAAGGGACCCTGGGAATCATCTAGTCCAACCCCCTGCAATGCAGGAATATGCAGCTGTCCCTTACAAGGATCAAACCTGCAACCTTGGCATTATCAGTGCCATGCTCTAGCATCTGAGCTACTGATTGACTCTCGCTTGTCTTAACGGAAGATGGTGGTGTGGGTGTGAGTAGAAACCTCTTTAGGCCCAATGACCACATTCTTTTCAGAACAACCTTTCAAGGGTTATGTGCCAGTGATGGACAGGGTCAGAGGCAAGAGTGGGCAGAGCAATGGATGTAAATCTGACCTCTGTACTATAGACTCCTTTCTATGCACAAACACACAGAGGGATGGACAAATCTGTTGATTTCAGGTTTTCACTGCTTCACATTTTTCTGATCTTAAATTCACAGAGGCATAGAATTGTAGAGTTGGAAGAGACTCCAAGGGTCATCTTGTCCCATCCCCTGCAAGGCAGGGATCAGCTACTGAATCCCTGGCAGACGGCCATCCAACCTCTGTTTGCAAACTTCCTAAACAGCCTTGGCCAGGTATACCTGAAGGGTATCTCCACCCCCATTGTTCAGCCCAGACATTGAAGTCCAGCTCTGACGGTCTTCTGGTGTTTCCCTCACTGCTAGAGGCTGAGCTACAGGGAACCAAGCAGAGAGCCTTCTCGGTAGTGGCACCCACCTTCTGGAACGCCCTCCCTTCAGATGTCAAGGAGATGAGTAGGTATATAACCTTTAGAAGACATCTTAAAGCAGCCCTGTAAGGGAAGCCTTTTAAAGTGTAATGTTTTGTTATGTTTTTATATATGTTGGAAGCTGCCCAGAGTGGCTGGGGCAACCCAATCAGATGGGCTGAGTAATAATCATAATCATAATCATATTTCAAGGAAGGAGAATCAACCACCTTCTGAGGCTGTCTATTCCACTGTCAAACAGCGCACTGTGGGTTAAACCACAGAGCCTAGGACTTGCAGATCAAAAGGTCGGCAGTTCGAATCCCCGCGACGGGGTGAGCTCCCGTTGCTCGGTCCCTGCTCCTGCCAACCTAACAGTTCGAAAGCACGTCAAAGTGCAAGTAGATAAATAGGTACCTCTCTGGCGGGAAGGTAAACGACATTTCCGTGCACTGCTCTGGTTTCCCAGAAGTGGCTTAGTCATGCTGGCCACATGACCCGGAAGCTGTACACCTGCTCCCTCAGCCAATAAAGTGAGATGAGCGCAACCACCTCCAGAGTCAGCCTATTCCACTGACCAAACAGCTGTCAGCGGTCCGCAAATTACCTCCAGGTATTGAGTTGGAACCTCTTTTCTTGTAATTTGAACACCTTGATTTGGGTCCTCACCTCTGGAGTAGCAGAAAACAACTTTTTCCATCCTCCGTGGATATTTGAAGATGGCCATCGTGCCTACCACCATGCCAAAGAAGAGCCTCTAGGATGCAACTCCCAGTCATATCCACCTTCTCTCACACAATCCGGATCAGGAGGAAGAGCTCAAAATGGGTATCCTCTTTATCACTATCTGCTATTTGTCATGGAAGCACATCATCTCTCTCTCCCTCCCATTTTCTTTCTGGCAACCACTGTCTGCTTGATTGCTTTAGCCTTTCATGAGCACATAATCTGGAACTGGAGTCTATCCTTCCAAATCTATAGGCCGCACCGCTGTGCCAATTTGTTACATTTCAGTAACGCATTAATCCGTCCGAGGCACATGTCACCCAGCCGTTCGGAGGAGCAGCAGACTAACAAACAACTCGGAGCTGGAATCAGCAGGGTAGGAGACCACCTCCATTAGGGATGCATTAGGAATTTTAAGAAGGGGCTTGGGATGGAGGCGCATGAAAGCAGCCTTGAACCATTTCCTGCTAAATAACAGGTCAGGGAGGTCAGTTCCAATAACTTTCGGTGCATAGCAATTTTCATCCGTCCCATATCCAAATCAATATGACAGCTGAAGCTCTGTTATGGTTCAGAGGAACCAAAATAGGCTGTGACTGATGACAAATGGGGAGGCAGGGGGGTGGGAACCCTATGCCTAAATATGCAGACAGACTAGCTGTCTCAAGTTATCTCCCTCCTCCCTCTGCGCGCACACACATCCTTCTTTAAGATGTGAGCTTCATATTGGCTCCTTCAGAATTTATTGTTTTGTGTACACATAATTTGTTTTTAAGAAAACAAATTGATATTCCCCACCTCAGTGCTTTTTACTCTGAAATAGCTCACTTGCAGTCATAAATTATTTTGTGTACACAAATGCTTTTTTTTTTAACTAAAAGAAAAAAAATATTTTAGTAAATCAAGTCCCCATTTCTGTGTGAGACCTTTATGTCATCTGAATGCATAAAAGAAAATCAGGAAACAAAAATGCAAGAAAGGGAGGGAGGGAGGGAGAATAAGAGAAACAATCTTTTTTGTTAAGCATAGCACGAAAGCGTCACTTTCTTCTTTTCCGGAAATAATTTACGTTGGCTAATGTTACAGAAGAAAATCCCTGATATACCGTGCAAAAATATGTTGATGTGCTCTAATCCATTTATAGACTTCATTGGGAGAATTAAGCGAATACTTAACTTGATGTCATCATGACCCTTGGGTGACCAAGATGCAGATCTAGAGGCCACAGTGTAACCTCATTGGTAATCTTGCAATTGGATTACTGCAACATACCGTACTTCATTCATTCATTCATTCATTCATTCAATTTAAATCATACCTTTCCTTCCAAAGGAGCCCAGAGCGGAGAACATATCAATAACGTTTTCATTAACAACATTCTAAAAAGAGAAACAACCACATTTTCCTATTTACTGAGTTGCCTGGATGAATTTTTTTAATTCCTTCTGAAAGTCAGTAACAAAGGAGGACATTACACAAACAGGGAGCTGCCACTGAAAAGGCCCTGTTCTAGGCCAACATCAACTGGGCTGCCTCCAGGGGTCAATAAGGCCTCCCCTGCCAATGATAGGGTTTCAGGTGGTTGATATTGGGGAAGACCCTCATTCAGATGTTTTAAGTTGCTCTGTATGGGGCTACCCTAAAAAGCAAAGTGCATCAGCAACACTTCTGAGCAGAGTACCATTCCCCATGAATGTAACATCTTTAAATAATTGAAAACACAATGAAAATGACTTATCAGCCAATAAAAGCCCAGGGCAACAAAAGGTGTGTTTTTACCTTAATACAGTGAGATGCACCTCAATGGGGAGGTCATTCCACAAACGCATAGCCACCACCCAAAAGGGTATTCCAGGGGCTGCTCCAATTTTTAACCTATTTAAGGCATGAGCCTCCAGGAGAGCTTTTTCTGCTGAGCTTAGTACATGGTTGATACAGGAGAAGGCTGATGTATTAGAATATAGGAATCTAATCTATGTATTAGAATATAGGATGAGAAAACTGTTGAGCATCAGTCCAGACTAAACTCCAAAATCTGGGAAGAGAAATTGAGATGATCAGAATTTCAGAAGCATCACTCCCCCTCCCTTTTTTTTAGTGCACTTGGGTAGTTTTTCTCTCTGCGCTGAAACAGAATTCATAGAATGTATGTATGGCTTATGGAATATGCCTACGCCAGACAAGAATAAACAAGCAGATGGGTGCATGTTGCATGTTGCCTTGCGAAATACCCTCTCTGAGCTCCAAATTACAGGCGCAGACATCCTTCCTCTTTGATCAGTACAAGGCAAAATGTATGGTAATCTCTCTCTCTGCCTCCCTCCCTCCCTCTCTTACTCATTGCAAAATGCACATCTCATCCATGCAGAAGGAAGGAATTGCCACGAGTATCAGACATCCCAGTAGTGACACATTGCCTAGTTGTCTTGTACAATCATTAAGGGGCCATGAATGACGTGACATGGGTTTTAACTAGATATTTGCACCTGGTATTATTTTATAATCTGCATCTCATCTCTCTCTATAGTTATATGTTTATTTTATATTTATATAATAATTTAAACTTCTTTTCAGATAATTATTGTCTGCCAACTGTTATTCTTATTTAGTGCATTTATATCCCACCTTTTCTTCCAAAGAGCTCAAGGTGATGTACATGCATTTTGTCCTCCCAACAACCCTGTGAGGGAGGTCTGGCTGAGAGACAGTGCCTGGCCCAAGGCCACCCAGTGAGCTTCATGGCTGTCCCCATCTGCCTGCTTTCCTAGTTACAACCAGTCCAGACTGCTGGCTTCTTCCCCACAGTCCCAGTGTTGGTCTTGGAGAACTCTGTAGGGAGGAATAATGGGATGGAATTAGAATTATTTGTCTCTGCCTGCTCTGGCTCCATCTAGTGTTGGCCTCCCAGTTTTCTACCCTACCAGTCCCAATGGGCACTGGCCACCACTGAGCAGAGCAAGTGACCCTTGGTTCCCTGACCAATTGCAGAGGCAAAGTTAGTCTAGATTCTACCGCTAGCTACACAAGGGGGATGGATGGGTGTTATGTACTGAGCTGAATAGGATCCAAAATGCAGCAGTCTGATTGGTCCTAGAACAATAGGATTCAGAATGCAGCAGTCTGATTGGTCCTAGAACAATAGGATTCAGAATGCAGCAGTCTGATTGGTCCTAGAACAATAGGATCCAAAATGCAGCAGTCTGATTGGTCCTAGAACAATGGGCTCCATAATGCAGCAGTCTGATTGGTCCACAGGAACCACCCAATCCAGCTCCAGGTGGAAGTGAATCCATGACCTGACTGGCCTACAGGAGAATCCTGGAATTAGCCAATCAAATGGGGCCCATTGTGTAAACAATGTACATAAAGCAGACATTCTGGGGGAACTTCCTTTCCTCCTCACCACTATGAGCTGAATAAAGAGCATGAAATCCACTCTCGACTCCAAGTACAGTGGTAACTCGGGTTAAGTACTTAATTTGTTCCGGAGGTCCTTTCTTAACCTGAAACTGTTCTTAACCTGAATCACCACTTTAGCTAATGGGACCTCCCACTCCTGCAGCTGTGCGATTTCTGTTCTCATCCTGAGGTAAAGTTCTTAACCCGAGGTACTATTTCTGGGTTAGCGGAGTTTGTAACCTGAAGCGTATGTAACTAGAGGTACCACTGTACATTTCAATGGGATATAAGAACAAGAAGAGCACTGCTGCATCCAGCCAGTGGCCTATCAAGTCCAGCATCCTTTTCTCACCTTGGCCAGCCAGATGCCTATGGGAAGCCTGTTGGCAGGATTTCAGGGCAAAATCCCTCTCCCCTCCTGTGGTTTCCAGCAACTGACATGAAGAAGCATTACTAGCCCAAGCCGTGGAGGCACAATCTAGCCATCAGGGTAAGTAGCCACAGATGGTCTTATCCACCATGAATTTGTCTAATCCTCATTTAATGCCATCAAAATTGGTGGCCAACTTGGAAAGTGAAAGAAGGATTGGAGCATAGGCTGAAAATCCAAAATTTGCTCCGGCGTTGCCTTGTTGTGTTTGCCTTCTCCCGTCTCCAGAGACGTCTGCTGCTTCTTTGATTGTTGTGGAATGTGTAATCTCCTACTTGGCATGCCGGTGCATCTCATTCACTGTTTGGTATTCCTGAAATTGGGGGTTATGTCACTTCTTTGTGTAATTTGTTGCTTCGGTTGTGTTGTCACCGAACCGCCATCTGTCATGCCTGAAGAGGAATGTGAAATTCCCCAGCTCTTTTGCATAACTCTGCACCATTTAACAGCCTGTCATTGATTTGCTTAAAAACCAAAGGTCAGCACGGGACCATTAAAAGGCCCGGTTAACAGTACAAAACATCAACAAAGGTGTCAAAATAATACGCACTTATAGGAGATGATCATCCTCCAACAGAGAACAGCAACAGACGACATAGATTTGAGGAGAAGAAGAAGAAGAAGAGTTTGGATTTGATATCCCGCCTTTCACTCCCTTTAAGGTGTCTCAAAGCAGCTAACATTCTCCTTTCCCTTCCTCCCCCACAACAAACACTCTGTGAGATGAGTGGGGCTAGAGACTTCAAAGAAGTGTGACTGGCCCAAGGTCACCCAGCAGCTGCATGTGGAGGAGCGGAGACGAGAACCCGGTTCCCCAGATTACGAGACTACCGCTCTTAACCACTACACCACACTAGTGCCTTGACTCAGTGGTAGAGCACGTGCTCTGCCTACAAATTGTCCCAGGTTTCATCCCTGGCATCTCCAGGTAGGGCTAGACATGCCCCATCTCTGAAATTCTGGACAGCTCCTGCTGGACAGAGAAGACAATGCTAGATTAGGCAGTGGTCTGCCTGGATAGATCAGTTGGAAGAGCATGGGGCTGAAAACTCCAAGGTTGCAGATTCAACCCCTGTATGGGACAGCTGCACATTCCTGCATTGAATTAGATGATCCTCAAGGTCTTTTCTGACTTTACAGGTCTATGATTCTGTGTCAGGAAATGGAATGAAGAGGAGGAGGAATGGTGGAGGTCTCCCACACCTTCTCCTGTAGCTTCCAGAGAGGAGGGAGGCAGTCTCGAATTACAGCAGGGCTTTGAGGAAGATAGCAGCTCAGAGACAGGCGAACAGCAGAGTTATGCTTTGTTAGGAGGAGGAGGAAGGGTGTGATGGCCTGGGATTCACACTCAGAAGCTGAACCTGAGGAATCCCAGCCTGCACAGGAGTCCCCGCCTCCAGAACCAGCTGAGCTGGGGCTGGGGCCTGAGACTGAAGGGTCCTTACCTGTGCTGGATCCTCAGGTGCAGGCACCAGCTGAGTCTGCTCTGGCGCCTGAGGTGATGGAGGACCCATTGCCCGCAGGTGCTCCACTCTCAGCCCCATCAGGGGAAGAGGAGGTTGCCTCTAGGTCCAGTAACCCTCCAGCTTCTCCTGAGCTGCAGAGGCTCAGGACAGAGAGGTAGAGGGAACTAGGTTCCTGCAGGAGGAGTGCTCGCCTCGAGGCCAGGAGAGGCGTGTCACCTGTGGACCGGGGCCACCCTATGCCTCAGGGCAGATAAAAGCCAGTCAACCCCAGTCCCAGGTTGCGGGAGCAACGTTGTTGCTAGCCTGTTCCTGCCTGCACCCTGTCCTGCGCCTCTGCCAGAGTTCCTGACCTCACCCATCTCCCTGCCTTGGACCCCGCTTCACCTTTGACGGACAGCCTCCATACCAGACCCTCGACCTCAGACTGGACTCAGATCTCACCACACGGTTGACCCTCGGGACTAGCACAAGGGGAGGCAGAGCAGCTAGCTGACATGTCACTGGACAACATACCCAACCCTCCTTCTCCCAAAGCATGTTTGTTAAGGGTGCAAGAACAAAGAGCCCAGAGACAATTGTCCATAGACAGATGCCGAAGAAGCAGGTGTTGTTGCTAGAGGGGGAAGGAGGAGGAGCCTAGTGAGAGCAACTCCATTATGGAGGAATGACCGGAATTCTTTGTCTTTTACCTTGATGACTGAATGAATCATATGTCAGAACTTTCTTGTTTCCCCCCTGCCTCTTGGTGCCATCGGGGGGAGGGAGACGGTTCCTCAAGCCTGATATTCTGTGACTTGGCATAAGGCCCTTTCATATTTTCATGTCTCTAGCAGCTTCCCCACCTCCCAGCTACTACTAGAACACACACAAAAAATTGGCATTCTTATCATAATTCATTAATTTCTATATACCGCTAAGTGCCCCCCCAAGCTTCTAAATGGTTTACAACTATAACAATCTGTCCTGGCCCTCAGTGGTGGATGCAATACTCAGTCTCCCAACTCATTTTTTGCCAAAGGTTTTAATGCGCAGGTCAATTCGACACATGAATCAGGTTACAAGGCATTCAGGTTAACAGGTGTCTCAGTGCTCTAACGCATGGCTAGGCAGGTTGCCAAGGTGATGGGGAGAGGTGTGAGGTGAAAGGGGGGGGGAAATGTCATATTTTACAAGAGACTTCGGCTTCTTTGTAGAGGTGTGCTGCGAAGTAGAAGGGGTGTGTGGGAAGGCCAGTCCTTCATGAGCTGCTGGGCAGACCAGAACTCAATGTGGCAACTGGAGGTCAAAACCATCATGGCGCTAGCTGGAGAAGGCTGCACCTAGAGACCAGGATCTATGACTGACTGCTGCTATGGATCCAAACTTGCTGAAGGTATGAGATGGACAATGAGAGACACCCTTGAATTATAAGTTTTTGCACCCCCTCCATTGCAGACTTCCAGGTGTATACAGTGGTACCTCAGGTTACATAAGCTTCAGGTTACAGACGCTTCAGGTTACAGACTCCGCTAACCAAGAAATAGTACCTCAAGTTAAGAAATTTGCTTCAGAATGAGAACAGAAATTGTGCTCCGGCGGGGCGACAGCAGCGGGAGGCCCCATTAGCTAAAGTGGTGTTTCAGGTTAAGAACAGTTTCAGGTTAAGAACGGACCTCCTGAACGAATTATAGTGGTACCTCGGGTTACATACGCTTCAGGTTACATATGCTTCAGGTTACACACTCCGCTAACCCAGAAATAGTGCTTCAGGTTAAGAACTTTGCTTCAGGATAAGAACAGAAATCGCGCTGCCCCATTAGCTAAAGTGGTACCTCAGGTTAAGAACAGTTTCCGGTTAAGAACGGACCTCCGGAATGAATTAAGTACTTAACCCGAGGTACCACTGTAAGTTCTTAACCCAAGGTACCACTGTATATGTGTTAATAAATCACATTTCTTAAAGACACTAGCCTCCACTGAGCCTCGATCTTCCCAAAGGAAACACTACTCTGGGTAAGTGCCTGGAATCTCACGCCACTCGTGGAGATTAGGGTGGCGTGTAGCAGTATGCATGTGACCTTAACAAACATGCTCACAAGCATGAAACAGAATTAACACAGCAGTCATGGCTGGACTAATTTAAACCACAGCCATCAGATTTCTCTCTTTCTTTTCCCTCCAAATGCATCCTAAAATGTAGCACAAAAGTGCCGAAGAGTTTCCATTTGGGGAAAGAAAGATGTTAAGCATTCAGAAGGGAGATTTATCTGATGCTTGGTATCCTGAAGAGATAAAAGCCTTAAATAATTACAGCTGCTTTTTTGTTTCTTTGAAGAACTGGGTTATGTTTGCTGAAAGCAGAATTCTGTTTATTCTTGTTAGATGTATAATTAAATTTGCTTTGGTTCCCCTCCTACTCTTCCCCCTCCTTATTAAACCATGCTGCCTAAAATCATCTGGACATTTCTCCTCCTCCTCTTCTTATCTTTTCTTTAAAAAACGAGTCTTCCTCTTTGTCCTAGATATGAACTTCACATATTGTTTAGTCTTTGGTCAGGCCCCAAAGGCTGAAGAAATGCTTTAAAGCTATTTCCCTCGCAACTTGGTGCCTCCCAGATGTCATTTGACTACAGCTCACATCATCCCTGAACATCGCTGACGCTTACTGAGGCTGATGGGAATTGAAGTCCAATTGGATCTGGAAAGCACCAGGCTAGGGAATGCTGGAGGAACTGGAAGCCATGGCAAACTTCAGGTGTACAGGGTTCTGTTCCAAAACTGTGCATGTGTTGGGATTTTATTGAAACAATGGAGGACCCCTAATATACAGGCCCATCCCACTGATGAGGCAAGGTGAGGCACCCACCTCAAGTGGTAGAAAACCAAGAAGGACCACTCACTTCACTTTCACCCAACGACGCACCTCAGGCAGCTGCTGTATCCTTTCGATGCCTGAGCTCAGCACATGTGATGGGATAAACTCTCAGTCATGATATGTGAAGGTCCCCATGCACCAAAATGGTTAGTGCAGGCTTCCTCAACCTCAGCCCTCCAGATGTTTTGAGACTACAATTCCCAGCACCCCGACCACTGGTCCTGCTAGCTAGGGATCATGGGAGTTGTAGGCCAAAAACATCTGGAGGGCCGAGGTTGAGGAAGGGTTAGTGTGTCACTGTGGTCACAATCCTCACTATAGGAAGATCAGTGTAACTTGCACCAGTGTGATTTACAATGGCACCTGTTTCCCCTTTCCAAATTCCATTCATGAACCTTGGGGAGAGCTGTGATTGCAGGTGAGTGCGGCCCCCAAGTTTTGAGGATTGGGTCCTGGGCACATGACTGAGCTGAATCGGGTTTTGAATAGACATCTCCTTGCCCTGTCCTGCCCCACCACTCTCTGGCAACACCTCTTTTGTGGGGGACTTACAATGGAGTGGCACCAGCTGAGCCCTACTTCATCTGGGAAAGCGCAACCCAGATTCCCTCAGCCTAGTAGATCTTGGGTTTCAATTGTCCTGTTAGATTGGGAGCAGGCTACCAAGGTATTTTACCAGCCTCTGTCCCTAGACATTTAACAGCAGCTTGATGTGCAGTTATTAGTGAGTTGCAGCACCATGGAAGTTTCAGCTGTTGATTTCTGCAAACAGAAAATGTGATGAAGATGGAGAAACAGACATGGACCTTTGTTTTCCTGGGCACCTCTGATTTGGATGTCCGCAGCTGACCTCCATCAGTGGTTCCCCTGGCTTCACTCTGTCCAGGCACGTTTCTCCAATAGGCACTTCTCCATATGCATTTTTTGGTGGGGGAAAATGCATTGCAAAATTCAGAAAAGTGTGAATTTAGGAGGATAGCTGCATTTGAGATTGAATATTTGGAAAGTGTAGGAAAGGGCCATAGCTCAGTGGTGGAACATTTATGTTGCATGCAGAAGCCCCCAGGTGCAAGCCATAGCATCTCCAGGTGGGGTCAAAAGAGGGTCCTGCCTGAAGTCACTGACAGTCAGTTTAGTCCATACTAAGATAGATGGACCAATGATCTTCCTTAGTATAACACAGCTCCATATGTTCCTACAAACCAGGTGGGTTCATCCATACAGCACTAAAGAAATAATTTTAATGGGGTCCCTTTAAAAAGTGACCATGAAATTGTTTATTACAATAAGCCAAAAGCATCTGTCATGCAAATACTATACCTGAGAAGTATGGGCGATTTTATTCCTTGGCTCCCTGCTTGATTCGATTTGGACTCAAGGTAGGGAAATCTGATCTGAGCAGGTCTGTCAGCATCCATCCGATGCAATGCTGGACACAACTTTCTTTCATGGTGCAGCTGAGCAGCAAAAGCTTTGATGCAGGTCAATCAGGGCATGAGGTCAGCCCATCAGCTTCATTCTCTCTCCATCCTTCCCTGCTAAGTGGGTTACAGAGCTGAAAATATGAAAGGTGGCAGGATGAGTGGCGTCCCTTTCTGCTTCGTGGCTTTCCTCTGTTTTCACCAAGGCTGTAATGAATCTGAAGTGAAAGGTGATCCGACTGACAACCTGTGATGGGGATGGAACCATGGCAGCAAAGCTCTCATGAGCTTGTTATTAGGCGCGGAAGAGAATCTATAGGTGATTGCTTTCCACTTGACCTGT